TCTACTGTAGTTGAAAACCAACGTCAGGCCGATGTTGATTTGTACTTTTCTTGTTTTTACCAACTTTTCTTTCTTGTAAAAAATACCCTAATCCTTCTTAAAGAAATACACAAATTAAACTAGTCTGATTCCCCAGGATTTGTCAGGCTTTCTCGACAGCTTACCAGAACCAATGTATTTTGGGTTGCTATTCCCTCCTCCTCCCTGCCCTATGACAAATATTGGGTTAGTTGTGTATTCTTCCACTGGTAAGCAGTGAGATAAATGTGGCTGAATTCCACTCACAAGGTTTTCATGGCTACCCACTTCACTTTAATGAAGTTATTAGCTTCCCCAACCTCTAATGTCTGATCCACCCACCCACCCCCCTTCTCCTCGAAAACAAACAAACAAACTTGATCAAACAAAACTCCTGCATTACCCTTTTGTTCCAGTGGAACTGGCAGTAACCAACATACTTGACTGTAGGGCCTGACTGGCCATCATTTTCCTCGCACAGCAATCCAGAACTCTGTGCACTGAAATACAACCAAAAACAAGAAATTATTCAATTAAAAGGGTATCACCTATTCAGTATTTTGCTCATCATCAAAAGAGTCGGGTTAGCTCTTGATTCCATTAACCCTTTAACTCCTGAGATCTGATTGTTAATTCTCCCCTCTAGCTGCTACATCTTCCTCCTCTAGTACCTCAATTACTAGAAATTGGTGTTAAATCAAATTATCAATAAAGGGCAAAATTACTGAGCGCTGATTGGTTGAGAGAGAGGGCATTTTTTTCTTAATCGAGGGCATTTTTAGTAATCAAGAGAGGGCATGATTACCTGTTAATGATTGGCTAATCCATTGCATTGCTAATCCGTTGCTTCCCAGATAAAAATAGACTGCGCGCGTGATTTTCCTTCGTATAAATTTTGCCCTTTATTGATAAACAAGTAATCCCATGAGACCTCGTACTATTAAGGATTAATTGCACTTGAGTTTTCAAAATTTTGGAAAATTTTGAAAACTCTCGTGCAATTAATCCTTAATAGTACTTGGCCTCATGTGATTACCTATACATAACAACTTCTACTTGATAAGTCTGAGTATTCTCATGACCTGTTTCCTGAATGAAATATGGATATTATGAGGAGAGGTTACATATCAATCACCTCTGGGTATAAAAGGGTTCGGAGGGTGGTGCAAGGTTTCTTAACTAATCAATAGACAAAGAGCAGCAAAACCACTGCAAATAAGAAATTGCCCTCAAAACTCTACCATAAATTGTGTGAAACTAAATGGTTTACCAAGTGACATGAAAAGCGTGTCTGCATCCTGTCCTGTTACAGCTCATGCAAGCTCCATGAGCTGTCTTACTTTCTCTTCCTCTCTCTTCACAAATGTAACATGTCTGATGAGAAATGCAGATTACAGTAGTTATTCATAAATACACAATACTGGTATCAGCATCTATGATAACACTGAGTCAAATTTAACAGGTATCTGAAGCATTGTCAAAGAAGGCCAAGCTATGTTTTTTTTTTTTGCTTTACTGCCAAACTTGTGCACATGCATGCCAAAGAATGAAAAGGGCAGATACAATGTTTTACATGATGAACATTTTGAATTATCAGAGGTTCACTTTCCTTTTAGTTTTGCTATAGAATGGTTAGAAATGGGTGATGAGTTCCCTGCTGACCAAAATTTATATAAAACACAAGTATGAGAGAAAGTGCCCTGAGTTGGTAAATGTGGTTTTTTTTTTTAACAAAAGGCAGGTTGAGCCAAAGCCTTTCCTTTCCTTAGAAGTGAATTTACAATCTCTCTGACTGCTATTCTTACACATAGATCAAAACCACATTGTACATGTATATCTCCCAGCTGAAAATCAGTTCAATTTTCAAGACTTGTCTGCCTAACAGCTTATTAAAACTGCTGGTGGAGAATGTGAAGCAACACTACAATGAGCAAAAAGGCCAACAAATCCATTACCTTGCAGAAGCGATCATGAGGAACAGATGCCAAAATGATTGGTTCCATGGTGGAAACATTTCCAAATCTCACTTCAGGAATGTAGAGAGCACAGACAACATGAGCCCAGCCTACAAAATAAAACTTGGATTTAAAAAATTCAATTCATCTACATTGATGATTTTTGTGACTGAGCACTTAAAAAAGCATATATGTGTGTCTGACTATCCTGCTTCTGAGCGTACGAAAAGCATCTGTGCAGTTAACATATACATGAGTGGTACTGTAGGTGAGAGAATGAAACAGTTCTAAAAAAGACCAATGTTGTGTGTAATGACTGAAATTCCAACTTTGGCTTTGGCTCTTCAAATGTCACTCACTACAATGAGCTAAAAGTAGGAAAGAGCACGAGTGAGAAAAGGGAGAAAGGAAATGCAAATTAAAGTGAGATGACTTTCCCAGGACTTCTCTCACCTTGATCTTCAAACCACATGATCAGATGCTACATGTAGTAATGTGTAACAGTACGATCTCTTCACGTGATGAAGACTTAAAGCACAGGTGTCAAAATGTTAAATTACATAATATCATTGACAATAACTCTTACTTGTGAGACAAACAATTGAATGCTCTTAAATCTAGAAATCCAATGGATGACAAACACATCTTTTAGAACAAATGACCTATTTTATATCGTTTTTATTTTAACCCTTTCACCTCTAAGAGTGACTAACATCTAATTTCTCCTTGCAATATCTCCCTTGAATTAAACATAAAGGTCACAAGAATAAAAGAAATGATCACAAACTAAAGAAGATCTTGATTGTGAAACAAATTCTCCTCCTCAGCACCTTAAGAAATGTGTGATGAACAGTATGGAGAATATGCATAGTGATATTAGAGTGTAAAGGGTTAAAAGTTACTAAGTGGACTACAAATTTACCTCCAGTATCTGTTCTTTTAAGAGCACCTTCTTTATATGGACACAATTCACATTTCTGCAATTAGACAAATTTGATCAAAGTATAATAAGTATAAATGACTGTGGAAAATGGTGGCGAGATAGTGCATATAAGTTTGAAATCAAGACATTTCACTATTAACCTAGGACTCTCTCAATATGTAGGGTCTGGGCAAACAGAAATAGCTGGTTCTTTCCCACTCAAACAAAAAATGAATGTTTGTAACTAGCTTATGTAAACATGTCTAGAAGTATTGCTCTCTGTTTTCTTTGCCCTAAAGACCAAAAACTGCCTTCAGCCATCCTTTACAACATTTGGACGCTCAGAACTTACATGTTTTTCCTGGTAGCCCTCAATGAGGCCTGAAAATTGATTTTCAGGACACAGAGGAAAGGGCTGTTTTGCTAGCAATTGGTTCTCTTGCTCTCCAGAACTGAAATCCTATTGGTTAGTTGTGACTTAGATTCATTTAAAGATTGTGAGTTTTCAAAATTCCCTAGATAAAGATTCACGTACACATGTACAGTTTGTCAATTTCCAGTATCTTCTGATGCTTTTGAAATTTCAGTTTAATTCTTAAGCGCAAATTATCAATAAGCAAAAAACCCCAATCAATCTAAATGGAAAAAATGATGAATTGGACTTCAAAAATCAAATTTAAATGAGCTACAGAAGTGTTTGACGATAGAAAACAACAATGTAAGGTGACGAGAAACCTATTTCTTTCTTAGCATTTAGCAAGTGCTCTGTACATTACAGAAAAAATACAAAACAATGTAAGGTGACGAGAAACCTATTTCTTTCTTAGCATTTAGCAAGTGCTCTGTACATTACAGAAAAAAATACAAAACTTATGAAAGATTTTTTTCCTCAAAACCAAGTGGTTAAGCCTCTAAAATCTGCAATGTCTAAAAGTTAGGCCCTGCAAAAATGAAATAGTACTTCGACCGTACCCTGATAGCTAACCTGCAAGTGCAAACTGAACGATCAGCATGAAATCTACAACCTGCGTGTCGAGTCACGCTATCTTGTAAACACGAACTTCGTGACAGTTTTATTGAGAGAAATTTACGCGCTAAATCAGACAAAAATTTGGTTAGGAAATGAGAATAAACCTATTCTGTACCAGCTGAAAGCTCCACATCTGTTTTAGGAGCTGTCAAGTGTTCATAGACTAATATAAGCAGCTTACCACTCGAGCGATTCTTTCCTGCGATTCGCATTTCCGACAAAACCACGGTCCTTTAGGAACTTGCACGATGCCATAACATGCTGATGATTAATAAATGCACAGCCATAAATCATCAAAAAAGATTCAAATCTTGCAATGAATCCTCTAAAGGTAAGTTGTATTTACCCTGATGAACGGCAACATTGCAGCCATGGCCGTCACAGTACACCAGTGGGTTCTCATCCCATCCTCTTTCGTCCGAACAAACGCAACAACCACCTATCATCTCTTTTACCATGTTTAGCAGTTTCGAAGATTTGGAACCCCTGTAAGGAGCGTTTCTGACCTGGACTACACCGAATCAGGCATGCGGGAGACAAAAGAACCGCGTTAGAGTTCGAGTTTGGTTCCCAAAACTAAAATGGACGCGCTCGACGCGCGAGGCTCCACATGTGCTTGGTGCGGCTGCGTTAATGGTAGTTGCGCTGACCGCTAAGGAATCACTACAATATTCTTAGACTTTCCCTTGAAGCACTAACGTAGTACAAAGTATCAATTCAATAATAAGTTATCGAGTCTAATTATTTTCGGCTTACACTATTGCCCGTCCATTCATTGCCTTTTTGATACTTCCTTGTCCCTCAATTCCTAATTTGACGAGGAGGGGATCAAAATTGTCGTTATCGTTAACGTTGCTGCCACACGGAATTATCTAAATTTACTTTGAATTCTTTTCGTTAAAATACAGGGATGAAACTTTTCCACCTTACTTTCTTTCTGCTATCGAGAATCGCTTATCCCCTTACTCTCCCCTCCCCTTGCATAAGAATCACTTCGGAGAACTGGGGCGAACCAAAACGCGGAACTGCTCATTTCCCACGAGGCAGTTCGCGTCACGGCTGCTGCTTTCAAAGCTTTCAAGATGGCTGTGAGTAATCAACAAAGTATGGATACGGGCTCAATTTCTAGCCGTGTAGACGTGGACAGCCCGCCTTTTTCGCGTATTTTCATAGTCTGTAGTAAAAAGCACTCGTCGGAAGACATGAGAGCCGCATTCGAACAATTTGGCACCATTGAAGATATCTGGGTTGTGAAGGACAAACAGACGAAAGAAAATCGTGGCGTGTGTTACATAAAGTTCGCCAAAGCGTCTTCGGCAGCTCGAGCTTGCGAAGAAATGGATGGAAAAATTATTGCAGATGATCCTAAACCAATTAAGGTACGTTTTGATTTTGACAGACTCAGATTTCAAACAAATCATCTCTTGTCCCCTTATGTTGAAGTTTGTATTGAAGTTTGTTCTATCGTAAGCATCCTAACATCCCACTACTAATTACAAAATGCCATGTGCTAGAACTTAAACCTGTTCTTTGGGAGCTTTCAAAGCGTTTTTCTTGGTGTTACGGTTGATAATATGCATTTATAGCTGAAACTGTTTCTTATTCGGGTTTTTACAATAAAGAACTCAGTCTAATATTTTCCTTGCTAGAAATAGTGATGGATGGATCAGAGAAAGGGAAGCAGAGTTATTGTCTAAATCGAATGCTTTCAAAAGCTTTCAATTATTTATGTTACATGACCACTTTTTTGCCGTAAGCTAGGAAACAGGTCTATGTAAGAACATATCTATTTGGTCAGATCTTTAGCGATTGCTTTGTTTGATGAGATTTTCTTCCGTAAAATTGGTTTTGGCACGTATTGTTTTTTTTATGTCACCCTAAACATCTCTGTAGGGTGTTTCAACGTGGATAAGTGAAAAACATGTACCTTTCAAGCATGAATATTTCACGATCTCCTATTAACTTCATAATTGGCCAAATATTATCATATGCTTATCGCAAACTTCTTTATCAGGGATTTCAGCGAGACAGAAACGTCATCTCTTCTGTAAACTTTAATTGCGTTTGGACAATCTTGAGTTATATTTTGGATAAATTTACAAAATGCCCCTACAGACTCCAAGAGCTCTTTGTTCATCTCACCAAGAGAAAGTTGTTAAAAATTGATAGGAAATAGCTTGTTCTTGCTTTAGTGTTTTTGAGTGACGTGAAATCTTGATAAGGTGAAGCTTCTAAAACTAATTTTTCCTTAATTTTCAAAATGAAATTTTGATGAGTGCATCAAAAATGTCTGTAACATTAATTAAAAGGTTTACTTTCAAGATAATCTTTATATTTTCAATCTTTGAAAAGTTGGGTTTTTTTGTTTGAAAGGTGCTATATGGAAAGGTTGGTTGTTATGTAAACATAACAGAACATTTTTTCCCCATAGTAAGACAACTTTTGAAAGGTTTTCACTTTCTTCTGGGCTTTTATGAGAGTCAATTAAGTTCATATCACTAATTGCTTCTTTCAAGTCCAGGTTTTGTTTCTAACATGGAAAAAAGCAAAATTGCTCATTAGGTGTTTGAAAATTATATGAGTGTCACTGAATTTGCAGATGGCACCCAACAGTGGTTATTTATATTTCATGTCCTCATGAGAAGAGGAATTTTTAGTATTAGTTTCCTTCGTTTATGTTTGATGGCAAACAATTAGTTTATTATTGAAACCTATCGGGTATATGAAAATATTTTAATGCTAAACTTGTAAACTAATTTTGTATTTGTAGTATTTTGTGTACTTGTACCAAAATTGTAGGTGCACATTACAATAACAAGCCTTTTTTTCTTGTTCAATCCTATATCTTTCTTTCAACATAAGAGGAGATTGTGTAAATGCTGTTGAAGATTTAGGATTTTAATATGTCTTTCACCTTAGGGTCTTACAATATCTCTCATCAGCCAATATTTCTTCATTAAGCAAATTTACATGGTTTGCATCAAGTTTCTTCAAATGGTAATTAGTCAGTATGCCAGTAAGATTAAAATTGATTTTTCTCTTAGTGCCAGTGATTCTTTTTTTTTAAGTACTATCAACTCTTGGTTTATTGAAATATTAAGTGAACCTCTTTATGGCATTGTCCATTAGCCTCTCAAACAATGGTTTTTTGTAGGACTTACCAGTGCTGTATTTTTTTCAAATGAATTGAAGATCAGAAAAAAGATTTTTTATTTATGGATGTGTTATATACCCTGTGTGAAATAAGATGTTATCACAGCTCACTGCCTAAGGTACTGCCCTAGGAGTGAGATGAGGGATCAGGGTTTGTCGCTAAGGGCCAGCTGCCTTCAAAATTGGCAGGATGGAAAAATGGTGATGGCTGGTTGGACTTTTGGTCAACAATTCCTCAGTAAAGCACAAAGGGCTTTTCTGAGGTTGGAAATAAACAAAGTTTATTGTGAAAAAAAAATTGTAATTGGAACCTTTATAAACAAATGAATGTATCCAAAATGTTTTACAATTATTTTTAAAAAGATATAAACTTAATTAAAAAGGTACACATTCTTTTGGGAGTGCTTTGCCCAGATTTTACCTTGACCCTTTCACTCCCACAAGTGATCAAGACAGAATTTCTCCTTACAATATCAATACAATATCAAGCAGGCAGGTGATGAGAATAGAGAAGAATATCAATCATGGGATTATTAGTTGATCCAATACCAAATTCTCTGAACTAGCATCATAAGAGTTGTATGGCAGATAGTAAGGAGAATTACTAATTAGATCTTGGGAGTAAAAGGGTTAATCTGTCACTTATACAAAGAAACTGGCACTCTAGATCTCTAGAATTCAACCTTTCTTGCTTCTCACCTAATAAGAACATTTTTTATTATTTTGTTTTTAGGCGATGATTGCCCAGTCTAAAGGTTCAGGCTCTAAAACAGATTTTCATGATGAAACAGCACTGACCCGTTTATTCATCATCTGTCCAAAAGAGTACACAGAGGATAACTTACGTCAAAAATTCCAGGACTTTGGGGAGATAGAGTATGTCCAAATTGTACGTGACCATAAAACTGGTGAAAACAAAGGTTTTGGATATGTTAAGTTCAGGAAGTCATCTGCAGCAGCTGTTGCACTTGAGAACTGTGACAAGACTCTTAAAGCTGTTTGGGCTGAGCCCAAATCAGCTAAAATTGCCAGAAATGCAGCAGCTGCAGCAGCAGCCATGCAATCTACATTAATCCCACACAATCCATTTCTAGAGGTAAATAATTACCCTCAGGCTGCGGCAGCACCAGTCAGCAGCCATACAGTCAGCATGAATGTGAATAATGCTGCATCGCTTCAGGGAGTTGCAGATTACTATGGAACTCAAAACCCTGTAGCAGCAGTTGCAGAGTCTATTACAACGTCACATACCCCCACCAGGCTGTTTGTTAAAGTGTCCCCTATGATAGGGGCAGAGCAATTATCGCGCTTGTTTGACATCATTCCTGGTATGCAGATGTGCGATTTGAAGCGGAATTATGGCACTGGAGAATCTAAGGGCTTTGCTTATGTCACATACAACTCTGTAGGATCTGCAATCTATGCTAAGGAAAAACTCAATGGGTTTGAATACCCATTGGGCTCAAAGCTTGTGGTAAAATATGCGGAAGATCCTCCTGGAATGCGCAGTAATGGTACAGGGCAGGGTAGTGACACAGCTTTTCAGATTCAGTCGCACGGCTCTAAATCATCTCTCACTGGTGGCTCATATGCAGTGGACTACTCTACTGCTGTCTACACTTCAGCAGCTCTTCCAGCACCATCTCCTTTGGCAGATCCAACCTCTGAGGTTGTTTCAAGACTGTTTATTGTTTGTCAACCAGCCCCACCACCAGAAAGTGCCCTTAAGGATGTCTTCAGCAGGTTTGGGAACCTGATTGATGTTTGGATGATGAAAGATCGTAACTTTGGTTATGCCAAGTTTGCAAGCAAGGAGTCTGCAGATGCAGCCATTGAAGGAATGCATGGCCATGAAGTTCTTGGTATGAAGTTGAAGGTGATGCATGCTGATCCACCCAAGTCAGAAGCGTCCAGAAAACGACCTCGCACATGATGTTAGAACAGCAGAATTACACAACTAGCATTTTCATCCTCACAGACTAAGGTATCAAAGGTAATGTAGAACCTGTTTCTTCATGTTTATTTCCTATGCAAGACACCCCTTTTGGTTTATGTCATGTGGCAATCAACTTGTAGAACTGAGTTAAAACAACATTGAGCACAGATAGCAAGCTTTTCCTCATTTTCAAGCACACATGCTCCACTGCCACTGGAATTGCTTTGTTTGACAATGGGAAAGACACTGGACTTGATGGACTGGTTTTACAGACATGAAGAACTGGATTACAGGGAACTTGACTATATATCACATGTTATTTGGAACTTATGGACTGAACTTCACGGGAGACATGGGACATACAGACTGCATCAAGAAAGATATGGTTCTTGGGGACTGTATTTCACAGAACAATGACGGCAAGACTCTACATCAACCAAAGTTGTGGAACTGTTTGTGTAATGTTATACTGGTAGGAAGGTAGTTTGGAATTAAAGTTGCATATGAAGTGTAAAGCAAATCCAAAGATCAGTTAAGGTAGCATAGTTACAAATCTAAGAGAACTAAAAAACTTTGAAGTCTCTGTTTAAAACTTTAACTCTTTACACCTTAACATTAGTATGCACATTCTCCATACTGTTCTCTTTACATTTCCTGTGGTACTGAGAATGAGACTTTGTTTAACGATCAGTAGATTCTTTAGTCAGAGATCATTCTTAGTTATTGCGATCTTAAAGTTTAGATGTTAGTCACTCTCAGTGGTTAGAGGGTTAAGACAGATCTGTCTTCAGTCATAAACTAGGAACTTGATGGCCTGGTAATGGTTCAGATTTGTTTCCACTGTTTCAGTGGGTTTTGAGTTGCATTCATGTGCATGTGTAGGGTTTTTTCCCTAACTGACCCTACAGAAAGTCTGTCCACAGAATCTTTTCAGTGAGACTCTTTTCATTTCTTTTAAGGAATATGTTTTTTATCAGCATTTACCTGTATAAGGGTCACTAATACGTCCTCGCAATAAACATTACTTCTTAAGTTTCTTAAGTTGTATACCTCTAGGATGCTTAGTAAGGCAAATGGTCTTGTTAAAGTTACACAAAGAAAATTTCTTTGCATTCAAGATTTGTGTCATCAAGTACTTAATTGGTTTTTCCTTAGTCATTTCATTTTTTATGATTCATTTTATCTCGTCTTCAAAATTATTAAGAGTTCTGAGAATAAATTAACCCTTTAACTCCCAGATCAAATTTGTAATTCTCCTTATTGTCAACCATAAAATTCATATAATGTTAGTTCAGAGAATTTAATAGTGGATCATTTAATTATCCCCAAGTTGATATTTTTCTTTGTTCTCATCTCTTATCTGGTTGATATAGTATTGATATTGTAAGGAGAAATTCTGTCTTGGTCACTCATGGGAGTTAAAGGGTTAACAAAGATATTGTGGGTTTTAGGTACTAATCTAACAATTTCAATTTATCTCGAGTCACAAAACAAATGAAATATGGTGTTTCCACTCATAGGTTTATACAAGAATGCTGGAAATTTTTCAGTGTTTTACAGTTTAAGTTTTTGATGAAATTCTTTAGTTGAGTTCCTAAAAGGGATTTGGTATCCAAAATTTAGATAAATTATTTTCACTGTTTTGAAGTTTGTTGAGCAAGAAGAGAGGAAGCAGCTTGGTACATTGGCCTTGTGGGTATGGCTTGCTTCGTTTCTTCATGTTTGACGTTGACCAAGGCAAAATTACAGGCCGTTTGTAGGTTATAAACATATTAATCTGGTGATAAAAAAACATGTTAGCCGCGTCCTACTCTCTCGTTGTAAAAATTGTGGTTTTCAGAAGGTAACGTTTTCGTAGTTCACAAGAAGGTTAATGTCTAGGTGCAAAAACTAACGTCAAAAAGGTGTTTTACGTGTTGTACACAGCAGAGTTATCTTAAAACATTATTTGCTAATACGTGACTTACGTTTACAGAGGTATCATTTGTGAAACATGGCAAAATAAATTTTATTGGTCTGTTTTACTGGTAAAGTTTTTTTTTTTTAGGTAAAAGCCTTAAAACAATTTTGAGGGTTTTCACATCTTAGGTTTCTTTTTTAAGCCTTAACATTTTAGCATCAATTTGCAAATTTTCTATAATATTCTCCATACATTTCCTAAGGACAACGAGAATTTTTCTAAAATCAAGAGCCTCTGTAATTGGTAATCATTTCCTTTTTTCTTGTGACCGTAATACAGGGTTGATATTGTAGGGGAGAAATTACACGCTGATCACTCCTAGCGTTTCAAGTGGTAAGACTTAGATACTCATAACATGATCACAACCTTCACTCCACTGAGATATAAACACACTTACACGAGTTGGCTTGCCGACCGTCCATGTGCAGATGTATCTATATCTTTACCGGGCTCAAAACTTACTATCACTCTTATTCTATATACAAACATGACGCTATCGACATTGTTGATCCTAGCAGTATGCAGGACGCGTGTCATACGAACTTCGTAATAGACCTCGCTCACCGTAGAGTCTCTGTGGCTCAGTGGTACAGCATCGGAGCGCGGAATCTGAAGGTCTGTGGTTCGATTCCTCATAGGTACTCAGAATTTTTTCTTTGTCCCACGCTCGTGACAAGCCGAAAAAATCTTTCTCTAAGAATTATGATGTTACTTAAATATTTAAAGATGTATCATAGCCAGGTAGCATTTCGAGCGATGTGATTAGAGACAGGAAAACTCACTACACGACACCACAGTGCGCCGGATTGGCGCGGAGTGATGTTTTAGGTTTGGACTATGACCAGTCGAAAGGAGCCGTGAACGAGAATAGTGAAGCAAAAACAATTCACAACGGGGAAAAAATCTTGGTGCCCGAGTGCATGTGACTTTGTAGATTGTTTGTTTTATATTGAGTAAGTTAAGTAAAATTATCCTAAGAAGAAATGCAGTTCATTTAGCCTGCGTAGTTAGCGGTTTTGTGTCCCCCCTGGAACGTTCAGCATCTCTACTGTCGTTATTTTCATACCCGAAAAAACTGCGAGATACTGGGCCGCAGTCCTCTTTGTCCTCTTAAAATTTCTACCTTTAAGTCATGTCTTTTTCTTAGGAGTGCTAAACGGGCTGTCTGACGATTTTTTGCATCGCGAGGAACTTAGTACTAATCTTTTCAAGTTTTTAACTTCCAATCTGTTGAGATCTACATGCGTTATCATGCTTGTTTCTTTGTGTTTTATCTCTCCTTTTGTCGTGTTATGCTTGAGGACGGTTGTACGGGAGCTTCCACCCAAGGTGTCTCCCGGCTACACCTATCGATCCCCCACCCCCCTTGCTACGTCCTTGATGTTAACGAACACAGAGACATTTCAGCGAAGTGAATTTAAGTGATTTGTTTTCTTTGTCTTACCAGGAGAAGAGAAAAACGAAGCCGTGATGTAGGATGATGTGCAGCAAGTCAGAATGTAACAACAAAGCGCTTTCATTGCCTCGTCTACACATCGGAAATCGCATTTCCAGATTCTTATTTGAATGAAACTATATTGACGAAGAAGGCGGCTCGTACGAAACGGAAAGAATGAGAAGCAGTACAACTGACACAACTCCTTCTTGAGGACGTGATATCGCTGTACAATGTGAATGGATTCGTCTTTAAGGAAAACACTTGGATATATACCCTGGCTAAAAGGATGAATAGTTTTACTGTGAGAGAAGTTTTGAATTGAGTGTCGATAAACCAAAAGACCAATCAGAGCAAAGGTTGACATCATCGTTAACCAATGAGAACTCAAAGTAAAAACAGGCAACCTGCTTAAAACGCGGGAAAACACGAGTGACCAAGTTGGGACTAGTTTTAGTGTTGCATTTGATTGGTTGAGATGGTGGCACGAGTTTTCTCGACCAATCATAGAGCAAAGCTATCCAGAATCGCTTTCGATACTCAATTTAAGACTGCCTTATCTACCATGCAAGCAGGTTTCCCGACTGTAGACAACTGATTAAAGATATATGGATTGCCTTGTATCACTATTTTTCCAATCGGTGGTGAAAAAAGTGTTATGGGACCACAAGAATGAAGAAGAATGCAATTTACATATTTTTTTAAAATTACTGATTACAAAGCCAATTAAAATACCGTGTCTTTCTGGTTAAACAAACGAACTTCGAGTAACCGTGTATTTTGGTCGGTCCTGTATCTATTTTATGTATATCCTTTTAAAATTCCTTTAAGATGCAAAGACATTCTGCACTTTGTTTGCTACACCGGCACCTAGGGGTTCTATGATTCCGTCCGTTTTTCCTCTGCCTTACAACCAGTGCTGATGGTATCTCATATTGTCGGTTCGCGTAAACATACTTCGTCGTGTGACGTGAACGACCTCAAATAATTCAGCACCTCGAGGGATTATTCATAAATAGTATGGAAAAATATGGTACGTCGAGATAAATGATATGACTAATGCATTCCGCGTACATTGTCTTTAAAAATTAAGAAAATGACTGTGGTTTCTCAGTCGCTACGCTGAGCAAATAAACTTAGCATTGTCTCTCTAAAAGCAATTGATTATATACATTCCATAGCGCGATGTTTATTTCCACGATCTACGTTGTAATTTACTTTATCGCGACTTAGTCCAGTCTGGACGGGAAGGTGTTGACGTCTCCACTGGCCCATCCGCTCGCGGACTCTCCCGACCCAGACTCCCCTTCACCGGAGCCTCCCTCGATGACTGAATTTCCAGAGTTAATCGGTTTGAGCTCGAGATCCAATGGTTTCATCTCGCACATGAAAATCATTGGACCAATTGTCGGGTTGACACAGAGTTCGTCATTCCACTGCATGGCCTTATCGCCCTTCCAGATGTAAATATGGCCGCAGTTTTCGCCTCGTCCATGAAGGTTGTTCGGTTCCTCAATTGCCCAATTGGAATACAGGATTGGAGGAGATGTGTGTACCCAGGCAAACTGCTCGCTCGACGAGCCGCGCAGCAAGCCTATCCACATGTACCTTGAGACAACGAGAACATTAAATCGTGAATATGCTTTCTCCCATAACCTCGTCATATGAAAACAGTTTAAGTTAGATAGACGGATTTTGCCTTATGAGAAATTCAGCGCGGTTCACCAATTTGAGTTTCGGACTTTCTTAGGAAATTTCAACTCGTAAACCAAGCTATGTTCGCCACTATGTGAGTTGCACAAACCGAAACTTTGACGGAGAATGAACTTGGCTTCCCTGTACAAACACATCCGATAATGATCATTCACATCGTTATTAATGTCGCAGTTCTAGATGAATTTTGAAATAAAAGGCTTTACATACTTTTTATCGGCAGCTTTGGAATATGCCAGTGTGTAAACGAAATGGTTTTCTTCTGGAGATTCGATCTTGACCAGGTCTCCTCCGTGCTCCCGACAAACCTGTCTAGCGTGATTCCACTGGTTTGTCAACCGGTTGAACAACAAATAACACGATGAGTGAAATCCCGTCCATCCTTGTGGGCAGATACCAGCTGTAGGACAGAAAATAAGATTTAGGTCATTAGGTGAGTCAGTCTGAGCAGGAACCTGCTTTTAACGACCCTGTTGGTAGATCTGATTATTCACCGAGGAAGTCAGTATAAATAAGAAAGATATTCATGCCAATCGAAAGATAAGCAATCATGCAGCATATGAGTCGGAAATTTTCACCAGGGGCGACTCAATTTCTTTTCTTTCGTTTCTCTTTCAACTCAAAGAAAGGAATAACGAAGAATGCGCCTACACCAAAATTTTGGCCATTTTATGGCTAACGATTAATTTCTTTCCGTTTTGACTTAAATAAATCTTTTTTACAGTTTGCCTTTTTTACTTCTAATGCTTTAAATCTGCATGTCAATTTTTACGCCTGACGACTATGATTTTAGTCGTTTCACGGCTAAAGATTAACCCCAGAAAGACCCTTTAAGAGATGGTCGACAGACTATTAGACTAATAGATAGACACAAAGGTAGACAAATAGAGACAGACAGACTGACTGAGGCAGAAAGACAGCTGCAGACACACTAAACCCACTTGGACGAGTGCTGATAGACAAACCGTAGACTTAAAACAGTTGGACGAAAGTGATGAAATTTACCTGTGAGAGTACTTGAAACAACCTCGACTTCACGTTGAGTCAGTGCCCTGTCGTAGACTTGCATCCGGGATATCCGACCTTTAAAATAGTTCCCGTCCTTCGTAGCGCGAGCGCCCATCCTCACATTCCATGATGTTGACAGATCACCAATCGTTGTTCCAATATTTCTCTTACTACTCACACGTCCATTCACCAAGAGCTTGGCAATGCCACTGGTACGGTCGTAAGACATCCCCACATAACTCCACACGTTTTCTTTTAACGGCAGCGCGCTAACCAAACACGTCCTGCAAGCGCTGTCGTCCTCAATAAATTTAGCGGCGAGGAAAAGTTTTGAGTTGACCCACAAACTAACACCCCACCCCTTCGGATTGTAGTTAAATATAGGTCCACCTTTAGACTCGACATTAACCCAGGCAAGAAGAGTTATGGAATACTTCGCAGTCAGTGCACCTTTGTTTGGAAATGCAATGAAGCTGCTGCTCTTCCCAGAAAACTGGTACGAGCCTTGAGGATTTCCGTCTGGTCCTGGGGCGAGTCGAACCCCGTGCGCATTACCGTTGGGATTGCTCCGTCCGCTGACGTCCCAAGTTTTGTATTTGCCATTGAGGGGGTAGAGGGCAATGGGAACGGGTATACTGACGGACGTATCTAACAAACAAGATTCAAATAAGAAAATGAATAAAGAGAGGAATGGAGGTTATCAATAGCATACAGCAAATAAGTTTTTCCAGTCGATCGCAAGCGGTTTTCTAAGCACTCGATGAATACTGATGAATGAGGGCGATATTGATTCTAAGCGAGAAGGGATGTCGCGATTTTCGTCTCATTCATTCATATTGAGCAGCTTCGCCGCTTTTAACGTCTACAAAAGAGCCATCCTCGAAGGCTACAGATTAAGTTAACTGATCGTTAATGGTCAGTAATAGTAGGTCAACATTCGAGTCAAGTGAGAGGTTGCTAGAAGTCGGTTCTTTTGAGGTGACACTTTGCTGAACCCTATATATACATGTAGAACCTGAACACACAAACATTCATTCGTGTTACCTTGTGACGTGGGCTCAACAAAGTCCACTTCGATCACTTCTAGGTCTGGTTTAGTAGTCGATTTAACAGTCTTCCTCTCTGTGGACCCTTTGGTTTCTGGCGAGCGAGCTGTCACTGGCTTCTCCGAAGGCATAAGCACGTTGTTTTGCTGTAACAGTTTAGAAGTCCAGTTGGCTAGCATGTTGTTTATCAACGCTACCGGGAAAAAAAGCCCATTAAAACAAATAAAGCCCTTTATCTAAGTGTTGATGTATTTAGCACCTCTATCCAATTTGGCGTCGCTGTAAATACACATCCTCAATCAACATCGTGAATAAGACAAAATTGTATTCATCCTGACTGAATGGAAGCAAAATTGTCGGCTGTTAACAAAGCGCAAATGGGGAGTTGAGGTCGCCCGGTCAGCCAAGATAGAGCTGCAATTGAGTGGAATTGTGAGGGACTCCAGATTTCCCTTAACTTCCTTCGACACCTCCATCAGGTGAAGACAAAGGAGGAGAAATGTAAAGAATTTTTCAGTGCTAGAGATCCTAATGGAAACTAGGTTAAAGGAATACACAAATACGCGCTTTAAGGCATAAACTTTCCAAAGGTTTTTGGTTCAATTTAAATATGTCTTTCGAGATTCTTCGGCGATAATCGTCAATCGACATCCACTTCTCCTTTTGTTTTTGTTACGTGTGTTTTTCTCCTTTAAGAGAATGGAAGACTGTAGAGAGAGGAATTTTGGCAGCGAGTCAGGGGTATATGTGACTAGAGAAGTTTATTTTGCGCCTGAGGGTTCATCGGCGAACTTCTTTGATAGCCATGGCCCTGAATGCAAACTGGAAAACTCTCCAAATAAACTAACTGGTGCAAATTGATTGGCAATGACAGTTGGCTTAGTATAAATCGACTCAGAAAACAGGTAGAAATTTTCGTTTTGCTCTTGTGAATTAAAGGCTGAGGATTGCTAGTTTAACTCTTGGATTTTTATCCAGTATTATGTCTATTACCCCCTCACTCAGACGCGGCGGGTGTAACTACTGTGTTCGGTTTGCGTGTCTATCCGCGTTTCGGTGCACGGTGTCTTGACAGGCTATAAACAGCAGTACGCGATGGCTCATTGAACTCTGACATCGAACACGCGATAAACGGCTGATAAAAAGCTGCGTCTGCTTTCTGACAGAGTGAAGGGGCGAAACTTGTTTCCTTCGTGTTTCAAGAGTGGTTTTAATTGCCACATCTTTCAAGAGGAGCAAATATTTTAATGGATTTTGCTTTTGTTCCGCACAATCGCGGAACAAAAGCAAAACCCACGTGCCACAACATTATGGCGCGGGAACAGCTATCCTTATCGCCGGATCTCAGATTTTAATGATTTAAACCGCATTCTTGAATATGTTTCAAAGCACGAAATACTGCAAAGTGTTTAAGGAATAATCTAAGTTAGACCTCTCTAAAATAAGGAGAAATATGCACAACCAACACGAACCAAAAGACAGCATCGGTCGTTTGATCACAGGGTGGTAGGTCAAGGAAAACATTGAATCTCTACACTGGCAGAGAGCAAAACTAATACAGCGAGTAACGGCTATGACATGCCGAGATACTAGCAAAAAAATTCTTGTGTCGGGAGAAAACAAAATGAAGCACACTGCTCGCTTAAGTCGCTCGAGATATCAATCAGGATAACCGTGTTCGGAGAGAGGTCCCGAGAGGAAAGAATGTCCGTGTTCTCTGGAATTCGTGACAGTCTTTAACTCAAGCACGCAAGGCAAATATTAAGATTATAGAACCCTCCTGGGTTTATCGAATAGACGTGACTCGATAATCGCATGAAATTAATATTCTGCTTAGGGTATCTATTAGAGATAAGAGAAAAATTAGCTGAGCAATTGAGACTGAGAGAATATCAATGTCCCGCGACACTGCATGGGAGGCAAAACACACTTTATGGCATATTGATTTCCACTACTTGTGTTTCAGCATGGGGTGATTTTTGAGTTCTCGGATGTTTTACAACCTGATGGAAACTCACCGCTCTAATCAATTTATGAAACCGCATCAATTTTGTGAAACCGCATTCGATTCCCATTTTAATAATTCTTAAAAGATGAATGAAGTTGTATTGCGGGCGTTAAAAACTCGTGAAAGCCAAACGGAAACATCTTAATGAAAAAACTCTGCAGCTGATATCAAACATGTTTTAGCCCTGAGCTCGTGAAAAATTTTCGTAATTTCTTGAAAAGCAAATCGGAGAATCTGTTGTTTGAGTTATTTCTATTTGTAACAGTTTGTTGTGTTAGCTGTCCAGCTAAAGTCGATGTGGCCTGTTTTATTACCTTATTTTTGCTAAAAGCTGATTAAAGTTTAGT